GTCTGGGGGGCGGCCGTTTGCCCCTGGGCGTGAGCGTGTGTCCGCGTGGGCGGCCGTTGTCACTGGGCGTGAGCGTGTGTCCGCGTGGGCGGCCGTTGTCACTGGGTGTGAGCCTGTGTCCGCGTGGGCGGCCGTCGTGCAGCACCCCCTGGTGGCTGGGAGCTCACTGCACAGTGTGGAGGAGCTGGAGCTCGCTGAACTGAGGTCCGTGGGGGTGGGAGTGTCGCAGCTGATGACTGTCCTCTCTCCACAGAATGTGCCCCCAGACCTGTCCGTCTGCACCTTCGTGCTGGAGCAGTCGCTGTCGGTGCGCGCCCTGCAGGAGATGCTGGCCTGCACGGTGGAGAAGTCGGAAGGGGCAAGTACAGCCGTCCCTGCGGGGCCTGACGCTGCTGGGGGGAGGGTCTGTCACGCTGCTGGGGGGAGGGTCTGTCACCGCTGCTGGGAGTTCCTCTATGCTGGCCACGCCAGTGCCTCTTCCTTGTCACTGACTTAGGCTGGGCTTCCTGCTTTACCCAGCAGATCTCGGTGTCTTAAAAACTTAAAATGTTCAGCCTCTGGGTGCCCCGGCTGCTGCAGCAGCTTGGCTCAGCGGCTGCTTTGAGCAGTGGCCTCTCCCCGCGCTGCCGCTGCGACTGCTTTCCCTCCCTGGTTCCCGCATGGCTGTCTGTAGCTCACCTTCACTCACCCGAAGGCCTTCGTAGGGCGACTGCGATTTCATGGCACGTCAGCGACTTCAGGGAGCCAGGTCCTGCTGATCTGCTGTAGTCACTGAGCTATCATCTTGCAAACAGCCAGTCATTTCCTCCTGAAAACTGAAGTCTGTCCCCTGCTGGAGATAGCTTTCCTGAGAAGCCTGTTTGGTTTTCTTGGTTGTTTTCCCGAGCATTTGCTGTGGCTGATTTCTGAGCTGTAACTTATTCGGAACCAGTTCGTTGTAGTTTGGAATTAAAGAGGAGGATGAATGGCCACATTTCGTTGCCTATTTTTAAAAATGGCCGTTGGCATTGTAACTGCTACAGTGGGTGGCTCAGCGAACTGCAGCGTTTCCAGAAGGAAGACGGCAAAGTCTCTGCCATGACTGAGGGGGGGCTCCTGTTAGCCCAGGCCTGGTCTGGAGAGGAAAGGCACTGGGACGCGGCGATGCGGACCTGAGCCACCCGCCGTGACATAGATAGCAGAGTTCCCAGTGTCGCATAGCTTAGGACCTTGCGAACTGGTTAGTGTGTGTGTTAATCCTGAACGAACTTTCCTTTTGAACAGCGTGTCCCTAAGAGCGGAGGAGGAAGCACAGTGGTTTTTATTTGCTATTAAACTAAAGCCTGTGTCACCAAGCGCCGAGTAGAGGGGGCACGTTTAACTTTTTCAGTTCTCATTTGGTTAGAATAAAGTTTGAAATTACAGTTTTAGAGCACATAAAGTTCCTTTTCAGATGTCTGTTCTTTCATATAGAATGTCTAGGCTATTCTTAGATTAAGGAAGAGTAAAACCTTCTCAGTTCCACTAGTTTAGTTCTTACCTGGAATAACCCCTCCTGATTTTTAAATATCACCAGGGCTTATCAACTTTGAAATGCAAATCAGTATTTACGAAGAAAAATCATTTTTCTTTTGCATTAACACCTAGAAAAATGTGAATTGCTATTTCACCTATCTTTCTAGATACCAACTCAAGATTAAATCGCTACAAATTAAATTTGTGTATTGTAATACACTTTTTCTAAACTTAACAGCCTTGAAAAGATCTTTTTATCTCTCGAACACTATGGGGATGGACTGGGCAGGCTCTGAATTTCTGGGCAGGCTCTGAATTTCTGTGCAGGCAGGGAGTGATCTGAAATACCGTTTTAGGATTTATGTTTTACAGACATTTATCAGTTAGAATTTAGAGCCCCCCAAATATTTTTATTTGGCTGAATTTAGTTTTGAAGTGTTCTGTGTGAGCAAAGTTTCTCTTGAACATAAACTGACAATTTGTGCAGCCGGTGGGACTCCGTCTCATCAATGCCTACCATGAGACGTGAACCAGAACATAAATTGAGCACAATCTGCTGCATCCATGTCTCAGGGAGGCGAGTCAGGGTTTGAACCACTATTAGCTGAGGCAGAACGCCCAGCCAGCAGCTCACGGGTCAGACTGCCCAGGGCTCTGGCCGCGCCAGGAGTGGCGGCCTCGTTTTGGCACGGTTTGGTTAGGCCGAGCGGGAGGAGGGTCCTGTGCTCTCTGTTGTGTTGATGGATTTGGGGTGGTCTGAGAGATTTCTAGAGTATCTTTGGGGTCCCCTAGGAAGCTTGGGGTGGTGGAGCCCTCCGGGGGCTCGGCCCAGTGACCGTTCCCACGTTCCCTGGCTGTGTCAGTGCGTGGCCACCTCCCTCTGCTGTGTGCCCCACACAGTGTGCACAGGCGCCAGGGACCGGGCTGTGGTTGGGCTGGGGCACCGTTCTTCGCCCTATCTCGTAATGGAAGAGTGAGCAGTTTCAGTAAGAGAATGTGGAACAAAATCAGATGGAAATCAGACAATTTAACTGAGTGATGACTGCTTTAAGAACCCCGATTTTCCTGCAAATCAATTCATATTAATTGCAGTGTATTTTATATGTGTACCAGTTCATGGATTCACACACATTTCTGCATTTAGAAGGCTTTGTGCTCTGAATATATTCCGAGTTCTCAGTATTTATTCATGGCTTAGAATACGTCTTAATATTTCTTTTAATCCTTCATGTATTCTGTTGTCAGTCCCTTGCCTGAGACATGGGTGCAGCTACTTCTTCTGTCCTGTTGCTCCGTTTGCAGTGCAGAAGGTCCGTCACCCTCTTCTGGCGTGCTGCCACCCAGTCTGGTCACTGCATTTGCATTCTGAGGGTTTTGTTCAAGTTCTTGAGCAGGCAGCCCAAGGGTCCAAACCTAGCTAACTCTGAGCCCACTCTGACCGAGCCCTAAGTCAGTGTTTTCCTGTTGGCGCTCTCTTCATCCCTGAGAGTCGGAGTCGTGTGGAGGATCGAGGACGGCTGAGCTGTAGACCCGTGAGAGAGGTTACACTCTGTACATTGTAACCCGAGCTTCTCATATGGCGAGGCTGCTGCCTCACTGGGAAGAAACAAGTCTTAAGTCACTTTAATTTTTTATACTTGAGGTAGACAGCGTGCTGTTGTGGGATACACACAGTGAAGGGAATTAGCACTCGCCTCATCTCATGCAGTTATCCGAGTGTTAAACGAAACCTTGCTGTACAGTGAGAGCAGGTACGGCCTGCTGAGTCCGCAGGACGCTGAAATGCAGTGCCGCCTAGCTGTGCTCCGTGTGGCGTGCTGTCCCCCATCGCTGCCGCTACCTGACGCGTTGACTGTCACACTCAGCAGTGCTCACCCACCTCCAGGGATGTTAGGGCGCCGTGCACCAAACCCCGCCGAAGTTCACCGCCAGGCAGTAACACGGCCACACTTGTAAACCACGCTGGGCTGACAGAGATCTCTGTCTGGAGAGACTACAGCCAGACTGAACAGGGCTACTATTGACAAAGGAAAATGAAAAATAATACCATGCTCACTATTTTTATTTGTGCTTGAGGAAGGTGCCGGCCCAGAATATGTGGAGGACTCAATAAGTTGCTTTTACACGTACCCTCATTTATTTATTTTGTGATAAATGCTATTGTTAAAAGTAATTAGTGCCTGGGACCAGCAGATGGTGTGATGGCTATGTTGCTGGACTCCTATGTAGTTGACTACAGTTCGAGTCCTGGACCTGGTGGCTTAAACTCATGCCAGGCGCGTGAGTGTGCGTGCCCAAGATCCCGAGAGGAGAATGGAGGAGAAGGGATTGTGGCATGGTCATTCCCCCCCCCAGGGGGTGATTTCTCGCTTTCTGTCTCTCTGTCTCTCTCTCTCTCTCTCTGGCGAGCACACACACCCTATAGCAAAAACCTCTACAAAAAAAAAAGAAAGTAATTAGTTCCCACCACAACACAATATGAAAATGTACTTAAATTCTAATAGAAATTCCAGAATCACTTAGATCTTGTATTTTTATAACAGTAATATAGACTACAAAACAAAACACCCTCCTCATGATCCTTCTCTTCTCCCCTCAGAGGTAACCACAGCCAAGAGACTGCTTCTGCACAGAAACACCTACAATTTTGTGCGTGGAAACACTGTTTTCTAAGGGGTCCCGTTCCGTCCCGTTCCGTCACCTTTCTCACTCAGTCACACTCGTTTTTAAGATAAAGACACAAAAGGCCAAAGGAAGAGCCTCAGAGGAGCCGGCGAGCTCTGGCTCTGGCGTTCAGGTCCCGTCATCCCCTCGGGCCTGCTCGGGTCACAGCCTCAGGATGACAGGATGGCAGTGGCATCCCAGGAACCAGGTTCTGTCCCTTCCTGGCAGAATTCCCCTCATGCCTGTTGTCACCCTCGGGGCCAACACTGCCTTCTGGGCAGGGAAGTGGGACCGCACGACTGTCTCATCACACCCGGGATGGCGGGGGGAGCCCTAAGCAGTGGGGCCTTTAGTGGGAGGAGGCGGAGGGGCGCCCGCGCCCATGCCCACGCCCACGCCCACGCCCACGAAGCTGGATCATCTCCAACACTGTCTGCTTCAGGCAGAGCAGACACGCCAGCATCCTTAGGTGCCTTAATTAGGAATAGCGGTTTATATTTGGGACCCCCAGACTCTCCATCCGCACGGTGACCTGCAAGTTAATGCCCACATTGGAGAGGCAGTCAGCCTGTGCGCAGGTGCCGCAGGGAACAAGACTCCCGCGTCCCTCTGCCACCTGGCTGTGCCATGCTGGTCCCAAGGACCGGGGCTGGAGACACGGGGGTGCATAAGGGCATCCTTGCTCCTGCGAAGCACAGCAACCTGGGGTTCCCAGAGGAGGACAGATCACTGCAGGGCGAGTGCAGGTGCCCCGACAGGAGGTGGGGGTCGGCTCCAGGAGAGACGCAGGCTTCTCCGACTGTGGCGTGGGCTGCAGACAGGATGGAGGCAGTAGCTGTTCGTACCTGAAGCTGCAGCCCCAAACACCTACTGCACCCACGTATCTCAATGGGCTGGTTCTAGTTTACCTTCCTGTTGGGGAACGTGCTGGCCAGGCATAAAAACCACTCGGGGAGGCTGCGGTGGCGACCCAGCGAGAGCTTGGTAGGGGATGGGCTCCTCAGCAGCACGTTGGCTAGATCTCTGGGCGGCACACCACCCGCGCTTCCTCTGTGGAGCTGTGGCAACGATTAGGAGGCAAACGTGGCCGGCGTCTCCTGAAGGGCTGCTGGGAACTTACGCGCTGAGCAACAGCCGTCTGCCACCCAGCGAGTGTGGGCCTGTGGCTGGGGGGGGGCTCTCCTTCGAGAATGCCTGCCT